CTATTTTTCTTCTATGGGGATTACCTGCAAGGTTCTTAATATATTTGCATGAAATTTAAATAAATTGCAGAAAAGTAAAAGAGAATATCTGGTCGGGAAAAGTAAAAAAAAAACTAGTTGTAGCAAAACACGAGCGAGAACGCCCGTAATCACATATGAGAGATTGAAACTAAGTGTAAAACATTGGTAAAGGTGGGAGCTCAGAGCTAGATTGTGCGCTTCCTGACCTTAAGTGAGAGCTAACAACCCGATAATCTACGGAGGGCAATCCTAACCTCGATCCAAGTGATTAACCGTGGACCTTTATAAGTTCTCTTTTAAATTTAATTTTCATGCATATAAGATTTGTTTTATCAGGCAAAAGAGATTTTTGTTGCAAAGGAGATTTTCATTTAATATATTTTGTAGAGAGATGCAGTCCAAGTCTATGGAGGAAGCTTACAAACATCCAAGTTTATGAAATCTAGCGCTTCATCATTTTGTCCAAACTTTGGCAAGAGTTATTTTAAATTCAACTTTTTTTTGTGGTTGACAACCACGACCGATCGACCACTGCTCCAGCCAACTCCTGTCGACTATCTCAAATCAAAGAACATTTACATGCATGCCACTTAATTATTATTTATTCATGTGGTTGACAACCACCACCGATCGACCACTGCTCCAACCAACTCCTGTCGACTATCTCAAATCAAAGAAGATTTACATGCATGCCACTTAATTATTATTTATTCATAAACATACAAAAAAATTTAGTGTGGTTTTAAGGGATTTTTACGCCCATGCGACCGCATAAATAATAAGGGTTTAAGAGTTTTAGTGTGTTACAATCTCCATAAAACTTTTTATTAGTAAATAATCTGAAATCTCTCTTACATTTATTTATTTATTTCACTTAAGAAAGGTTTTGCAATAAAGTTAATTTAGAGAGTTTATTAATATCATCATAAATACAATCGTGACCACAAACATTTCTCTGGAACCCCAACATATAAACAAATTAAGCAAATTGTCTTACACATCTTTCATTCTGATGTTTACACATCTTTCATTCTGATGTTCATAACATTGTCCCAAATTGTCTTACACATCTTTCATTCTGATGTTCATAACATTGTCTTTTAATCCGTGTGATACCTTAATAATGAAGGCTAGTGGAGCCTACATTCATGTAAGTTTATATCTTTATTACCTCTATCTAGTACTGGTCGAGACTACATAAGGTCAAGAGCTCTTACTTGTCGATGACCACTTAACATTTGGGGAACTGAAGTCAAGGTAGAAAAATCGATAAGCTACGAGGGGATTGTAAATTGATTATCCTTAACCCTTACTATAATTCAGCACCCAGCGACAAAAATGTCTGTGAGGGATGCATATCTCTAAGACTCCCTTCAGGGACGAGTATCTTCAATACTCCCCTCCGAGGCGAGCATCTCCAAGGCTCCTATAAGGGACGAGCAAATCTAAATCTCCCCTCCAAGGAGAGCATCTTCAAGATTCTCCTCTAGGGCGAGCAACTATAAGATTCCCCTCTTGGGCGAGCATCTTCAAGACTCCCCTCTGGGACTAGCATCTTCAAGACTCACCTCCGGGGCGAGAAACTTTTAGACTCCTCTTCGGGGCAAGCAACTCTAAGACTCGCCTCCGCGGCGAGTATCTATAAAGCTCTCCTCTTGGGCAAGCATCTTCAAGACTCCCCTACAGGGCGAACAATTTTATGATTTTCTCCAACGCTCAACTCTTTCTTCAACGACCGACATTTCTTTCGACCAACCACAAAAACTTGACAACTTCCCCCAGAAAAAAAAGAAAAAACTCTAAAATGACAGACTCAGCAGATGACGACGAATATACCAAAACCAAGTGGGAATGACACCCTTGCAAAGGGGTATCATTAGCAAATTATAAGTTCAAGACTTATTTGATTTATAAATTTCGTTTTCCTTATTGCAGCTGTTACTATCAAAGAGCAAGAAAATTAAAGAACTTATATTTATACTAAAAAATAGTCTGCATGGATCTCGAGGCTATCTGACGGTCCAAGATAAAAGTACTAGAATACCCTTCGCTCTTCTTATTAAAAACATGGCTAAATATGTAATTTTTATTTATTTATTTATTTATTTCCCTCCAATCTTCTATAAATAAAAGAGCTTTATGATATATTTGGTGAGAGAGGAGAGGAGACCTTGGAGATCCCTCACATGTAACATATATCTTCAATAAAATACAACGAGCCCAAGAGTCTGGGAACAACCCATTTCTCCATACCGAAGAAAGTCTTCTCCCTCTCTCTTCTTCCTCTCCCACTCTTTCAAATCTTTTTTCCTCGGCGCTCTATTCGTTGGGCACGATCAACCAGACAGATTTGTGTTCAACACACACACACACACACACACATGATCAAAATTTATATTTAATTCTAAAATTTTGTAAGAGTATATCATCTTCTTATCAGCTAAATATTTTTTTGACTAAATTTCAACAAATTTAATCTCAAATATATGCACATCACAATTCTTAAATAAAAGAATTTTGATTGAAACAGCAAGGTTTAAAGTGTCAATATAAAGTATCAAATTTTAAAATTTGTAAAAGCCTTTTTATGATGTTGTTGTTTCCTAATTTATTTCAAAAATCTGAAAAGGTAAGTGCACTTTATGCTTGATAAATATTTATTATAATTATGTAATTTAATATCAATAAAAAATTAATAATATATAATATCATACAATAAGAAAATTTCATTGACCATAAACCAAGTCTAAATTAAGGTCCGACAGGGGAGAGATTATTGCGTGCGGACACCGCATGCATCTCTGCATGCGGTGTTCGATCCTGGCCGTAGATCACGGTGATCTACGGTCAGGATTATTTCCGTTTTTTAAAAAAAAAAATAAAAAATTTTAGGGCAGGAGACGCCGTCAAGCGAATCATCACCGTCCGTCTGAATTCGCGGCAACTCAGTTTTTGCGGCGAAGAATGTTCCACGTGTCAAACAAACTATCTTGCTTTAACACGTGGCGTCGAAAGACACGGCAGGTGCGAAAAAGCGCACCTAAAAGTTCGGCGAGGGCTTTCCCACCCAATCGTGCTCGAAGCTTTATCGCACCCACACGCATATTTTTCTTGGTTTTTATAATGAAAAATGTCCTATTTCACGGCCGCAGAAGATTATAGGATATTATATTTTAATTTATTTAAAAATAATGAATTTTAAATTTTTTAAACGTTATTGATGCCCACCAATAAGTTTTTATGATCAAACACAAATTTCAAAGCATGACATGAATCTCGAAGCAATTTTTTAAGTAATAAATATTCAAACTTTGATTAAAAGTCATTTAGGGCTTCGATTTAAGCTAACTTATTGTCAATCTGATTGACCCGACGAGACGGGAACGGACTTAATGGTACTGATATTGATCCGATCCGAACTAAATCGAGCTTCAATCAAGCCATTAAATAATTTTGGAAAGCTGCATAGACACAATTGTAATGTCAAATGGAAGTAGAATTTAATAAGTTTATAATCAAATCAAGCTTCTCGACAAGATGAATCCAACGAACACCAGCTTTTCAGACCCACCGATCAACATAGTTCGTATTCATGCATTACTTACACCCATAACACTATAAATAGAACATCATCCTTCTCATGAGGGAGGATGAGTGCTTGAGATTTGAGAAAGAGCTTGAAACTTCGAGAAGGAGCTGAAATCCAGCACCATCGCCGCCGACTACTCTCGACCATCACTGACCTCCGTTGACCACCACCAACCATCATTAGCTTTCGCCGATCGTTGTCGACCATCACTGTCGATCAGCGTCAATCTTCATCGATCACCACCAATCACCATTGACCACTATCTACTGGACGCTTCTAATCGCTATCAGTCGCTGCCAGTTTAACAAAAAATTCATCAGTACATCGACGTTGTAACTTTAGAAACCTAGTAACTTTTTCCTGTTTGTGGGACAAATGGGTGCAACTATAATTATCTATTTATAGAAAAATATTTCAGCTGGGTCAAACCCTGCGATTTATCCCTTTTTAAGGGTTTTCACATAAAAAATTGTGGTATCATTATTATATGCTTTCTCTTTCTGAGTCCGTGATGAATTTTCGTACCATGCTAAAACGATGATATACTACTATAATGCTGCGAGCACACATCAATTATCAATACTTTAGTTAAGTTTATAAATATGAGCCTTCAAATTTAGTTTTATGTTTATATTCCTTAAAATAGTGGCAATATTAATGTTATTTGAATCATAATTTTGGTGAAGTTATTAAGATTTTACATGTACTTTGTCTTCAGGTTTTAAATATTAATCAATGTTAACAATTAATTTAAAAAGAAGAATTATTTTGTAAGTACAATAAATTTAAATGATTTATGATTAATTTAAACATTCAATAAAAAAATATTTTTCATTTGAATTTAATATTAGAAGAGAAATTAATTTTTAAATCAAAATAAAGACTGTAATTAAACTTGATTTGGCTCTTCATTGGTTCAAATGACTTCATCTGTCTTTTAGAGGCAAGAAAAAAATAAAATAATTACATTTTGACTTTTTTGCTAATTTATTTGTCAAATATGTGCATAATTAACATCATATTGAATAATTACTAGTTATATAGAAAGATATTATAAAATTCAATGAAAAAAAAACAAAAAAATATAATGATTTATGTAAATTTTGTTATATTAATTATTTAAATTTTATATTTAATAGAAAAGTAACATAAAAGGTAAAATCATTGGATATTTAGATAAAAAAATTCATTGAAAGGCTAAAAGTAATTAAATACATAATTATATATAATTTTTATTTAAGCCTTCTTAACCCCACATAATTAAATTCACCCAATCGCGCACTCACCAGCTCGCCCGCCCACTGTCGGGAATGGGTAGTGGGTCAAAAGCGAGTGCTCTACTCTTGAAATGTAGGCCACATGTTCCCATCCGCTTTCCTCTCATCGCAAAACTCTCCGGTCCAATGGACAGGCTGACGTGGCACCTTTCCTCCACTTTTTCCCCCTTCTTCCCTTCTCAGTCCACCATTTCTCATCCTCAAACCCTTCTTCCTCTCTCTGTCTCTCGCTGGCTCGCTTGTTCTCTCTGAGTTTGATTTTGACCTCTGAGAGCTCGATTCGGCGAAATCTCCGCACGGCCCTCTCCATTTTTATGCGGTGGAAAGCTCCTTCGGAAGCTGGAGCGCTGATCGATCCTATGGGTTGGGGAAGAACTTGCGGTTGATGCCTGTGTGATTGGGGAGCGCTGAAGCAATCGATTGTAGTTTCATGGCTGAAGCAGTTGGCGTTCTTCAGGTGCTGATTCTGTTTTGTTTATTTTTGTTTTTGTGTGTTTATAATCTATACGGAGAAGGAAGGAAGATTTTAGGATCCGTGCCAATTTTTTTTCGTGATGGAGAAATAATGGTGGATTTGAGATTAAACCTTGTCGGATTTGCGTTTTTGGTTGTGTGTTGCAGGTTTAGGGCATGCCGATTGCAAGTTAGTAAATCTGGATTTGATAAAGTACTGTTCTAGTTGGATTTAGTGATGGTGAGAATTTTGGGATTTGTTTGGTTACTGGAGGGTTAGATTAATTTTGTGGATTTTTTTGCTCTTTTTTTTTGTTTTTAAAGTGATTGAAATTAGATTGGTGGAATGGGATGTTTTTAATCTGTGATGACAATAACGTGATCCTTTTCTTTTCCGAATCGGTACATCTTTGAAGTCGCTATAAAATGAGGAAACGTTCAGGAGAGTTTGTAATATGTATAGTTAGATATATTCTATATGAATCTTTGAATCAGGCTGTACAGAGGCCCCTCATAGTAAAGTAATAATATAAAGTTCACTTGATGAAAAATAGACTTTTGTAATTTGAACATGTATGGTAAAGGATACAAATACACCATTGGATGAGTAGATAAAATTAATGCCAAAAAAATAATTAGAAAAAATTATAGATTTAATATAAAATGGATATAATTTGTCAAAAATATTTACAGAATTTAAGGACTCATTTATTAGTTAAAAATGAATGAAGAACTAGAACAAAGTAAGGTGATCTTATTGTTTTTGTTATGTGAGCAGGGCCAAAATGGCTGCACAAGTTTGAATTCCTTGAATGGGATTTTGACCAAATATCGAGTTTCATATGGAGATCAAATTGGAATGGCACCAAAGGTGAATGCTTTCTTTATGGTATTGCAATTTTTAATATTCTGAGTGATTATGTAATAAGGTCCTAAATTTCTCTGTTTTTGTTTTGTTCTTAAATTAATTAGTTGAGGAAACCCTACACCATAACTAAGCAGCGTGAAAGGTGGTCTCAAGATGAGCACAAAAAGTTTCTTGAAGCTGTTCAACTCCATGGCAGGGCTTGGCGTCGCATTGAAGGTATGGTATAAATGCTTGTCAAACTGCTACGTCGCGCCTTTGCTTGCAAATATTCGTAGGATGAGTACTTATTATTCTCTTGCAGAACATATTGGAACCAAGACTGCAGTGCAAATACGAAGCCACGCACAAAAGTTCATCTCAAAGGTGCTGTTATTTGTCTTCAGATAACCATTTCATAGGATATCTGTATTTGATTCTTCATGTTGTATGGAATGCAAGTTAAATCTTTCGTTAATTAAGCGAGAGTTTTCATTAATATGTAGGAAAAATTACATGAATAAATAGCTATTATTCAACCAAAATTCTGTTGACTCACTGACATCAATTACATTTAGATAATCACTCAAATAATAGGAATCTCCAACTTTCAATCCTTAAAGCTATCTCCTCAAAAAGACTCCATTTTCAAGCATTTTGTACAATCAAACATGAACTATTTGGCCATTTAAATGATGGGGCACTTACAAACATGCGGCCTGATTCCCATTTATTTACATATCAAAACATTAAACTTGACTTTTTACATTTATACCAACCAAAAGTTTTCTTATCACATAAAGAATACCAGCATTTTAACTTTTAAGATATGAAATACATTTTTTCACGCATAGGTATGGTGACATGCTTGTAAAATTGAAGTTTAGGTGTTAGATATGTAAATGCATAGGAATTGGGTGCTATGTATGTAAATCATCAAGCGCAAAACCAGTTTATGTCTAGGATGGGTAATTGTCCACCCTGAAATTTGAAACTTTTTTATATAATTTGTAAATTTAATATTTTTTTTCTTATGAAGTTGAAACAATATAGTAATTTTGCCAGCTTTTCCCATAAACTATTCTCTTAAACGATGCAGATGGCTCGAGGTGCAAATGATAACCAAACTAGCAACATCAAGCCAGTTGAAATTCCTCCTCCTCGTCCGAAAAAGAAACCAACCCATCCGTACCCTCGCAAACAAGTTCTTTCCTCCCCTGTGGAGGTTCCGGTTCTTGGGAGATTAGAGAGGACCCTATCACCTATTTTGTCTATCTCTGAACAAGACAAATCGCTATCATCGCCTCAATCTGTAGTTGGATCAGAGTCAATTAATCCATTCTTTTCAAATAATCATGAGAGTAGAATTCCATTATTCAACAACTCAGTTGAAGAAGACATTAAACACCTTTCATTAAGTTTCGCACGTGCCGGACGAGCAACTAAAAATGAATCTACAATGGTATGAATTTTGAATTTTGAATTTAACTAAGAGTTATGCGATATGGTCTCATTAAGTCCGATCTAGCAAGTTTGTTTGATCTGATCAAAAAATCAAATTAAAATTCTTAGGCACTTCCAATTTTTGGAGGCATATTTTAAGTTAGAAGAACATACATACGTCCATATAAAGATAGGCATGCATATATCTACACGCAAGTGAAGTACAAATACATGAAAATATGTTTCATATGTATGCATATACTATCACAAGTTTGTTATAATATGTCAATATAATCTCAAATTTGACAAAATCAATCTGATTTCGACCTGTTTTCAATCATAAGAGTAAAATTCACAGTCCTAACTACATGTTATTGAGCTGTAATAATTTGTTGCTTCAATGTACATCTCCAGGAGTTGAAAATGAACACTTCCATCGAACAAATCGATTCGAAAGAGGCTTCTTCAGGAGAATCAGTAGTAAAAACTCTCAAACTTTTTGGAACAACACTGATAGTCACCAACTCCTGCAAACAATTTTCTACAATAGCCCTAAAACCTAAACTAGTTGAAGAGGTAACCAATGAGACGTTTCCAATGAATGGCACATGGCCTGGTGGCTTTATTCCAGCATACTTTTACTGGCCTGCCTTGTATGGAAATGAAGCAAACTCAGAAATGGAACCTCGAGTTCTTCCTCTTCCAGGCTGCCTTTCTATGTAAAGACACCACTTTCTTCTAATTTGCAGAATGAGTGATCTGAAAGAGAAAGTATACTGTTCAAATGTTTGGGGAGACACAGTTGGTGATAGCCCAACTTTGAAGCTGTGTTTGTAGATTGCTTACTAACTGTAATTTTATTGCGAAGATGGAGCTTCTGGGATGATTGTTTTGTTCCAGAGGCTGATAATTGTTGAAACTGAGGAGAAAATAACGCCTAACCAGTTCTGCTTGGTAGAAGCAGTGTGAATTGTTCGGCCCCCAAAGTGTTTGTTTTAGGAAATTTACATACCACATTATTCTTATGTATTTGTATATCTAAGGCATAAAGTTTGTTATTTGTATTTATGACACTTTGGTGTTATAAACTTATGCATGAGAAAGTGTATTTCACTTTTAAAAGGTTGGTAAGAGTGGTGTTTTTGGTGTTGATTTGAAGATTTTTGTGTTATGAATGTAATAATGAAAATGTAAGTGTTGGATATGTAAATGTATAGGAATGTGTGGTATGGATTTTTTTTTTAATAGCAGCGTGAATTATTGTTGCTGAGTAATGCTTATAAGATGTGAAACATTATAATTGGTTAAACTTATTATCTAGTTTTGAGAAATTTAGGTAAATTTGATATTCAAGGAAGAAAATATTTATGAGCACATAGAATTACATCATATATGCCAAGTTTTTGAAGGTCAGAAAGGGTGAAATTGCTGTCTTGTAAATAGAAACCACGCGTTTACTCTCTCTCTCTCTCCCTCTCTCTCTCTCTGTCTCTCTAAAAAAATGTTCAGAAGGATCATACCTCATAGATGGGAATAAACAATGGGGACTGTAAAACAAAAATTATACAACCAACATAAAACATTCTGACCGAGGTTCGATCCCTATATATATATAGTTCAGAAGGATCATACTTCATAGATGGGAATAAACAATGGGGACTGTAAAAGAAAAATTATACAACCAACATAAAACCTTCTGACCGAGGTTCGATCCCTATATATATATTGTATGAAAGCCTAATGACCTCCACATTTACTTCAGAAGCATAATCTCTTCAATCTTCTGATTTATAAATCTTAGAAGTCAGAATTTGTGCAAAAATATACTAAAAAAAATTCTAGAAATTTATCTAGATGATTATGAAATCAATGATCCATGGAAAATCCAAGGACGATATTTGGGCACAATTGCCTATGTTCAAGGTAATAGTGATCGTGTATCATATGAAACAATCCTTCATTACAATGTGTTGAAATTGAAGACAATTATAATGAACCAAATAAAATAATAGCTTATAACAAAGTGACAATTAATCACATCTTGCACTATAAGGAATGAGGTTTAACTCCTTTCTAGACTAAATAGGTTAAATTTATTCTTCCTGTAACTAATAAAAAAAAACAATTTATTTTAATTATTAGACCTATGTTCAAGCTATGAATTAAGCATTTTTACTTATAAATCAAAGGCATAACCATTCTTGGTTTTTTGTGCTAATACTTAAAATTTTAATCAATGAAATATCAAACTGGTTTTAGCATGATGAGATAAATTTGGCGCCACCAATGAAAACCTCCCAGAACCAATTACTAATTTCTATCCAACACAGATTCGATCCTCTCCACAACTTGACAAAATAAAAAAATGAATTTCTAGCCGGTGGTATATGCAAACTATTCTTCTTATGCCATACACAAATATCATAGATTTTCGTCTGGAATCTATGTCATCAACAAGACAACATTAATAACAAATGTTTATGACAGACTTTCTTCAACAAATAGTGGTAAGAAATTAATGTCAGTGACAAAATAGTTCAAATTAATAAAGTCATCAAGTTCAATATTTCCAATATTCGAGAACAAAAATCTCAAGAGCTCCCTAAAAGAAATTCATGACCAGATCAAGCGAAAATATCCTCGCAAATTCTTAAATCAGATCAAGCAACAAATACAAAAGCTCTATCAAAATCAGTGAAAGAATTATTTGAATCAGAAGATAACATGTCGTTCTCTAAACAAGGCTCAGACCATGAAGAAAATTGGGAGCGATTGGTGACCCATTTCAGCTCGAATTGACAGAATTAAGATAAAGGCTGCTTATAGTAGACCCCCACTGAGGTCCCTTCAGAGAAAATATGAACAATAATTCTGGTGATTGAAATAGTACTAGTTGATGGAATAGCTACCGCAATAATCCTGATGGTGCAATAGTGTCTGTAATTATCTTTAGTTTTATGTCACATCAATGTATGTGTTATCTGTTATTAAGTTGTACTGTATTAACTTTAGAGTCTGCCCTAAGGACGTTGTGGTCTGTCAAGGTGTGCAAGTTTTTTAGTGAGTCTTCTTCTTGTAAGATAAAAGTATATGTCTGGTGTCTTCCCCAAGCTTGGTGCTCTGTATGTTTTTTTGTTTGTATATATATAATATTCCACTTCTCAAACATTACAAAAGTAAACTTTCATTTCTAGCTATCTAAGTCTTAAAAAAATGATTTTTTTTCATTAAAATATAAGTTATCTTGAAATATGATATAATTTCTTTCCACCAAAATATACTATAAATTTTACTAGTGGCAACAAGGAAAACTTTTCATAGTAATTTTACAATTGATATAATTGGCATGGAAAAGCTCTTGAGAGAATGTTCATCTGGTTTTAAAAAAATGTCCAGATGCAAACCCACCCACTCTCGCTTCTCCTTCTTCGTTCCCAAACGAAACCCACAACTTAATTAAGAAGTTTGGGATGAGAGATAAATTGTAGAAATAAAAGATGGGAGTTAGTAAAGTATTCTAGACTAAAAAATAAATATATAGTTTATTATTGCTAAAAATAATTAATAAGTTAAATTAGGCTAATTTTTAATTGAAAAAAATATATGAGATATTGTCAAGCTTAATATCAAGTCGTTAACAATTTATTTTATAAATAAAAAAGTAATTTATGAACATAAATAAATGAGTTAGATTTTAGTCAAGCTATGATCATTTAGCTTATAACTTTTTAAAATATTTCTAACTTATTTAATTAGGAATACGAATGAAAATGATAAAAAATTAATCAAAATAAGTTCAAGCTATTCCTCAATGCATTGGCTGACTAAGAACACCGAGTGCTCACCATGATGTTGATAAACAAAAAGGTTGTCAGATCTGAGATCCTATGTTGCTGAGTAGTCAAGATGTTGGCAATAGTTACTTAAGAGAATATTGATCTCAGTTAAGAAAACATTGAGATGTTTTTAGTAGGGAGACTTCTTAGAAGGGTAGAAAGCATTGCTAAATCTATTGAGAATGTGTCAATGAGGGCACCAAAATTGCAGCAAATTGAGCAATAGTAAGGGCATAGAGAAGGCATTAAATAGGGCTATTGAAAGGCATCAATTAAGGCAATAAGAAGAAATCAATGTGGATGATGAGAATACATTTATGAGTCCATCATACATGCATTGGTAAGAGATGAAGTGTGTCAACAAGAAGAAAAAGAGCTAACTTTTAAAAAAAAAATGTCAAAATGATAATAAGATGACTAAGAAGTTGAAGTGAGATGACAACGATGGAACAAAAAAAGTATCAATGGTAACTTGAACTTAATCAATTCAAAAAAAATATTAAAAGATGTCAACAAAGGGCTAACATGGTGCTCTGCATGAGCCAATGGGTTAAGGGTGATATAATGAGAAGTGAATGCATGAAAAGTGTACAAAAAGGTACTAAACATGGGAAAGTATAGGAAGTGCAAAATATCCCAACAGATGCACATGAGCAATTAGTTGCAAATAAATATGAATCAATAAGTATATAAATTGGATGGGTGTGTGAAACATGCAAATGAGCATATCAAAGTGTGAAGAGTAGGAGCTCAGCGCCTAGATGCCTAATAATAATGAAGTGAATATTAATGAGGGTATTGAAAACAAGAAGCTCATATTAGGGAGCTTCCGAGTAAAACCTATATCTTAGGACATTTTTTGATCTAAATCACTAAAATGATTTAATATTAAATGAATAATCCTAGGCATGTCCGAAAGGGAGGATAACAACTTTTAAGGCTCAAATTTTAATACATAATATTAATTTTTAAATCATTTGAAATAAAGATTTAAAAAACATAACATTATAAGATATTTACATAATAAAAAAAATAATTTGCAGGGACCATTAATACTCTTCTTAAATTTGTGAGTTACTTTTCATGTACTTAAATCATTTCAAAATAATAGACCTTTTTACACAATATTTTTTTTTGAAATCAACTATAATAATTTTTTGTTGACTTGACAATGAGTGACTAAAATCTATTCAATTAGTCATGATCAACTTTAAATTCCTTTTATTGGTTATGTATGATCAACTTAATTGGTCTTGACTGATCATTAAAAGTTAATGAGGCCTCAATACATTTGAATGAGCGAATCATTAATCAATCTATAGCATTTGAAATTAATAATAAATTATTTGATTTGTTAAAAAGATTATTATGTTTAGTCTAATACAGATAGACACAAAGTATGTTAGTGCAATGTTTACCACTTACAAATGAGCTACAACTTTTATCTTAAGAAAAAAAAAAGGATTTAATCATTAGTGTATTGATCCCATACTTGAATTATTTTTTTTTATCCAATTCTATAATAAATGGTGTTAGAATTTAATATTTGAATGGTATTGATTTGTTTAAACTATTATTTATTCCATGTGTGTTGATTATATCATGGAAAAAAAAAATAACCGCGAGTGACTCCATTTGCTCAGGTGATTGAGTTAGAATAGAGAAGGCTTGGCTGTGAGATAAATTGGAGTCAACCTAGCTTCTTTGGTGTGGTGGAAATTTTAGTTGGTAGGGAAGATTGTATAGTTGTTATGGTAAGGTGAGTGACGTAAATTGGATTGGTCGATAACTGTGATGTTTTAGAGAACTAATTAGATAGACTAAGAGAGATGTGAGTTTGGATATTCTTGTTATGGATATGGTGATTAGGTATGAAGTTGATGGAGATGCTAGTAGTTGTGGAGACTAGAGAAGGGAAACATAATAAGGCTCAAATTTAATGGGAGGAGGATGCCTTTAAAATTCAAGTTAATGGAGAAGTTTCTTCTCTCTCTCTCTCTCTCTCTCACACACACACACACACACACACACACACACACACACACACACACACACACACACACACACACACACACACACACACACACACACACACACACACACACACACACACACACACATTTAACTATATCTAAATAAAATTTAAATCCTTATGATTTATGGGGTTCTTTTTAATACCAGAGATTAAGTGGTTGTCCACTTCTAATGTATGGATGATTA